TCATTCCTTAGCTGTGTTCAAATGAAGTCTTCCTTATGTTGGTAATCAATCCTCTATAGACTAGAAGAACATGCGCACGAACACACAGCCTGCCTCATCATATTATATACAGAACTATGTATACTGATGGGCAGGGAGTTGGAGAAAATAGCAATTATGGCGCTTTCTTGCCAGGTGTGAGACTAGATACAAATACATTCCATTTCTCTTTGAGACTCTATCTTAAAGCATAGCATAGCATCTCTATACATAACTCCTTTGAGAGCAAGAGTTAGAACATTCTGGAGGGAGTTCCTGTGTATTTTTTAGGGATGGCAGTAGCAGCAGAGAGACATTAAGCCAGGATTTTGGGGTGTTTTGACATCAATAGCTCCATTTTCATCTCTGATACTACATTATTTGATGGCATGATTTCCTCACTCATGCCCAATAGGGCTTCAATGTCTAGACATAAAGAATGAACCAAAATGATATTTTAGAATACAAATAAGAACTTGTCACTTATCAGAGATTCAAGAGTGTCAAAACTTAATAGGCTTATTTAATTAACATTATTCATCTCTTATATTATCTTTATAGTCTACCTCTCCAGCTACTCTTTTACTGGCTATGATCCAAATTCCTTCACCTTCTAGAGTCTACTATTCCTTTTCCCAGAATGTTTCTCTTTCCCCTTTGCCTGGCTAATGCACTCACCTCTCAAGTCTTCCTGAGAAAGGGTTTTCTGACTTCTCAAGCCAAATTAGTATTTCTGTCTTATAGTCTGCATTCATTACCCTTCACTGCAGTAGCATCATTCTAATCACACAACCATGTATGTGTTATGTGGTTACTGTATTATTCCCACATGACTATAAGCTTCACAAGGACAGGCAAACAAGACTATAAACTTCATGAGGGCAGGCAAGTCACCTGTTTTGTTTACTACTTTATTCCTACTGCCACGTACAGTGCTTGACATGGTATGTACTTAACAAATTTTCTTGGAATGAAAAGGAGGAGGGAGAGAAGTAAGGAGATAAGGCAGAAGGGACAAATGGAGGAAGGGACAGGGAGAGAGAACATGTGTGGAAGGAAAGAAAGTGGGAAGCAGGGGTAAAGGAGGGAGGAAGGGCTCCAATTGGACTAAATGGGATGATATTTGGTTCTCTGTCTCTAGTGGGAAAGCTGAAAAAGTTAAGAGTGCAGTGGCTCTTATCTAAAAGCTTAACACTAAAAGGTAGAAGGTGAATGTCAGAATTTTGTCCATGGTATAATGCTGAGTTCAAACTACAGAAGCAGTTTCAAAATGGGTCATTAGAGCCAAGGGGATCTGAGATGACTGGTAGGTATAGAACAAAATGAGTATGGAGAAGGCAGGAAAAGTGGGGGAAACATGAAAAGTTGAAGAAACTATAAGACAAAATCACTAGTTGGGCTTCTAGCCAGTACCTAATAGTTTTTGATGCATAGGCAAAACAATTGTGATTAAAGGGACACACACTACAAATATTTGCCATAGATAGATGAACAAATACTGCTTTAATTGGAATAAATAGATATTCTTGACCATAATTAATTTTGAGAGTTTGATTAACTCTGAGTACTCTAACATGACTGAGTAAGTTAGAGCTTATGACATCTCAAAGCTTAAGACTGGATTAGAACCACAGTGCTCTGCCTACATGCCATAGCTCTCCTGAGCTGTGGGGCCCCTCCCTTCCCTACAACTATGGCAACTTCTTACAAAATCCAACATTTTAAACAAAGTTACCAGGCCCTTCCTGGTGGTGTAAGGGGTTAAAGCACAGTAGTGTGAAGCTATCAGCAGCCACTGCATGAGTTCAATCCCCAGCCAGGGAGGTGATCCACATGATGTGGCAGACCTCTCCTGATCTGCCCACTGCTCCTTTCAGCAGTGCATCTCACTAGTTCTGCCTGTTCTGCTCCCTGCTCTGTCTTAGATGAATCCTCTCACCCCCACACCTCTGGCCTGTAACCCAGTTCTTATACGCATAAATAAATAAATCTTAAAAAAAGTTATCAAACTCTTAACTTACACATTATCACATTGGGCCCCTTCTTGATCATCAAATCCTGAGGAACAGGAAAAGCATCAATCTCATTTTTTCATCTCTCCCTGAGCTTAGCATAACGACTCCAAATAGTAAACATTCTAAATATTATTAAACAGATACCAGTACATATTACATAGGTGCTAGGAGCAATTACTCCAACAGATTTGTTCATTTCTTTAGGGAACCTCTTTAGTCCCACATTCCTTCTGAAAATATAAGGTATTGGATTAAATTATCTCTAAGGCATTTTCAAACTGAAAGCTATTGGGACAATGACAAGACAATCTCCCTGTCATTCCTTGTATGTTATTGAGCACATAGTGGGAACTCAATAAATCTCCAACTTCACCTTCCTTCAACACCACCCTCGCCATTATCTTTGTATCTTAATTCATATCTCAAATTTGGAATGTCTGTGTTAATTTCAATGCTACATAAACTTCCCAATACTTTTTTTCATATTCCTCCCCCTTGTTTAACCACACACCTCACCATGTTTCACAATAGGTATGCCTTCCATGGTATCTGCATCATCCACAGTGTATATACTCTTCAAGACATCTGTGTCTGGTGATGGCTGTTGTATGCTGGAAGTTGAAGCTTCCCCAGCTGCGAAGCAATATTTTTAGGTCATCCTCAATGTAGGACTAAGGAAAGGGAGTGTTTCTTACTCTCTTTCATTTTTTTTCTGTCTGTCAACTATCCAACGTCTCTTTTTCCATAAATCCAGTGAAAAATTAGGAAGTGATGATTTTTTTCAACAACTACCTTAGCTCAAAAATTTTCTACTCCTTTGACATAAATGAGGGGAAAGCAGAATATACTGAAAGCAGAATATACTAACTATAACTTCTAAGACTAGGGTAGAAGAGAATCCCATTTTTCTTTGAGACTCTATCTTAAAGGTTTAATAGCAATAACAATGGTATCAAGGACTCCCACAGATGAATCTGAAAAAGTTGAAATAATTTACAAAGTATCAAGAAATCAACTATCAGTTTATGGGGTACAGATCTTGCTTTCCTTTGTCTCCTAAATTCTTCTTATTTACCTGGTGCCTATCCCTACATTCTGGGTCAAAAATCTCACCTGATACTTGTATTAAAAAAAAAAAAAGCCATGACTTCGTGATAAACATTTTATCAGAGTGGAGATGAAATAAGGTCATCTAACCCAAAAAACCTATATTTATAATTAAGTCTCACATACTATACTGAAACTCCCTGCAAAATAACCCATTTTTCACTGGAGGATGTCAGGAGACAATGATACCTGTTCTCTGAGGAGTCCTGACTAACTGCCGAGATTGAATCACACACATAAAAAATTTCAGGTGAAATTCTTCTCTATGCATGGCTGTCTCCTAGAAATAGACACAGAGTTTAATTCAAATGAACACATCTGTGGAATGGTTAAAGTGGACAAAACTGACATGGATCAGGTATGCTCAATATCAGTAGGCTCTAGAATCTGACCTTATGTTGGCATATGAAAAAAAAAAAACAAATAATCTACTTTTTTGCTTTAACAGTTGCTCCGTTGCTGAGGGTATCTAAAGGGTAGGGGACCTCCAGAGGCTTCCATTAGCAGTCAGTTCAGACATGGGTCATCTGGGTCTATAATGGCTATTCTGAAGCATTTCCCCAGGCATTCTACACAGGGTCTGGGCCCAGAGGCTCACCAAGTGCGGAGACCTTGGTTAACAAACATTCCCTCCCTTTCTTGATAACAGATTATAGGTTAATCAATTAAAGTCCCAGGAACACCAGGATCATTTAGTTCTTTAGATATTAGACTTCTGGGTCCTTTCTTATTTTTACTTGGAAAAGCAGACACCTCTCCGAATTTCTGGAAGGTCTTATTAGTTTGAGTCTTATTAGTTTGAGCAATTCTAAACAAAAATTACATTTGCTTTTATTTTCCCCAATATCCAAACATAATGTGGTACAAAGAGTACAGGACTGCAAGTTAAGAAATTGTTTCCTAGTCTTAGATCTGCTATTAACTTTGGGAAATGACTTCCCTGCACCTGTTAAATTAATACATCTCCAAAAACTTCTAAAAGCACTAACGTTCTAGGATTTTTCAATTCAGCACAAAACGCCTGAGCCCGATTTAGCGTTCAAGTTTCAGTCGACGCGGTCACTGATCTCCCAGATTCAGTGAAAAAGGGAGGAACTGCCATGGAAACCCGAGTATAAGCCAAAAAACGCCAAGCGGAACCAGAAGACTGCGGGTAAGGGGGTCGAGGGAACCGAGAAAAACGAAGGACGAAGGGCACACTAACAGTATTCCGAGGACCAGAACAAGCCCAAACTCGGGGTCAGGGGAATTGGCACTATAGCTTTGGCGGTTCCCTTGGCTTCTCAGGCCTCGCCACACTGCGCAGGCGTTACGTGGCTCTTTAACTCTGCTCTTTGACCTCCAGCCCCACCCCATCTTCCCCAGCCACCGAAAGACTCTTCCGGTATTGTGGAGGCGGTTCCGGTTCGTGGCGGTTCCCGGGTTTTGCGTTCCGCGCCCGGCCGGAAACCCCTTCGCTTAGCAGCCGGTTCCGGTTCGGTGAGTGGCGGCGGGAAGCTGGGGGAGGGGTGAGGATGGAGGGAGCCTGGGCCGGGAGGCAGTGCGGATCCGGGACGGGTAGCCTGGGCTGGGCCGGGCGGAAGCGGGGACGGCGGTGGGGACGGTCTTTTTTCCTCTGCCCCGCCCCCTGGGACCACCTCCCCTCCCCCCTGCTGTCGGTCGGCGGCCGTTAGTTAGGCTTCTTGAGGCCGTTCCTTCAGGCCTCTTTATCCTGAGAGGTGGAGAGGCCATCCCCTGGCCGTCGCGACAGGCCCCGGCTCAGCGCCCTGCCCTGCGTGTGGGGAGAAGACAGGTTGGGATTTCGGGGCTTTCCCGCCAGAACAGGGTCTTCTCTCAAGGGAAAGCTGGTTTCTCCGGGAAGCTCAGCTTTCTATTACACCTGCCTCACCTCCCGCCTTCCTTGAGATCTGAATATTTCTCGACCACTTCTGCGTCTCACGTAAACATTTCTTTGAACTCTCTTCCCGCTGTGATATCTCTGAGTGTGATATCGCTAGTGCCACCACCTGAAAGAAACGTCTGGACCCTCCTGCCCAGGTTATGAAAATCCCTTTAACTGCCACAGTTTGCTTACCTGTCTCATCGCCTCCTGGTAATTCCCTTGAACTGTCTCTTGATGTTCCCCAACGTGGTCTCACTGGATATATGCCCAGTTTCTCTTTAGTTTGGTGATTTCTGTTTATCGGTGCCTCTGCAGTATTTCCATTATCTTGTTGGCAATGACGCTCCTTTATCACTTTGAAGTCAGCCTCGTTAAACTTATTTCACTTCACTTTTGGTACAATTATTATATTTGAGATGGTGGTGATTCCTGTTAATATAAAGCATTTTTTTTTGTAGGCTGCCAGCTATTTGACTTAGGGTTCTCGAAGCCTGATCCCTTAATTTTCTTCCAATTTAAAGATCCCTTTCCCCTCTTTTGTGCCATTATGGAAACTTCATTTGTTTTTATGTTAGGGTGTCTCATTCATTTTTACCTGATTCCAATTAATTAACCTGGTTTGAAAGATAGTCTTCATTCATATCACCGATCTAATGAGTTCAATCTAGAGGGAGCAAATGGATGCAAAACAGGTTTTGTTACTTCAGACTAAGGTGATGTAACTCTTGACTAGTGCTTTGAAAACCTTTTTCTTCCCCTGACTTCCACACCTCCTACCATTTGCGGCAGCTTTAGTGTCTTGCTGTGTGTCTTTTTATGGATTTGGCTTCCCGCATAGTAAATAGTAAATTTAAACGCATAAGGGATTGGTTTTTATTCGTATTTGTATCCCCCGTGTGGTGTCCTTAGATAGGTGGTACATAGGATTTGTGAAAAAAGTTGAATACATAATGCTTAAGATCTTAGAATCTAATTGGGAGAGATAACATATAAATATGAAAATCAAATACTTGAATGTAATGTGAGCAGTGCCATACGTGTAATTGTTTTCAGAATTGAAAGTGGAATGATTCACAAGATCATTTCCATACCCTTCTTAAATCATAAATTATTCTAACCCCATCTTGGTCCTGGCTAAATCTAATTGCACAAGCCTCTCTTAAATATATATTTTCTAGTGGCATCATAGCTCTAAACATTCTCTTGTATAATCACCTCTTTGCATGGATGTAAGCTTGCTACTGTTTTATGACTCTTGCTACATTCTGTTAAGTCAGCTTTTTTTTTTCCTTTGAAATTTCTTATTGTATTTAGCTACTAACTTGACTTCACCTGAGAACCTATAACTAGCTAATGTTTTTTAAATGAGCAGTGTGATTTGGGGAATACTTTTCTTAAAGGAAAAAATTTTTATGCTTGAGACACTTTGGTAGGAATAATTCAAGATTCCAAAGCCAGCATTTCATGTTGAATCTTGGGCTGTCTCTTCCAGTTCTAATTGCCAAGGAATGGAAAGAGTATTATAAGCACACTAAAGAAGCTGGATTTATTTGTATTAAAATGTAAATGTGGGACCTTATTAAAATTATCAATCAGTGTAGGTCCCTCAGAGTTAGTTAGGGATTATTTTGACAAAGTGAAATCTATAAATGATGATATGTTAAAGGATGTGTAATTTTGTGATTTTTGTTAAAAAGGTTTGCTTCATGCTGGCTTCCCTTCACATCTAACTCAACAATGCAAAGTTAGAATAGGGTTGCTCTGTTGGGGACTGGGCTTTTAAATCAATATTCTGCTTAATACAACAAAATAGGCTAGTGATGAAATTATGAAAGTACCTCAAAGAGTGAAATATGAAAAAACTACTGGTAGTTTATTGATTGATAGGAACTTTTCTCCTTAAGCGAGGACCCAGGGAATTTTCCTTTATTTAAAAAAGAACAAATTGGAGAATTTCCAAATAGAACCCTGTTGTTAAACATTTGGGAACATTTTGAAGCCTAAATCTAAGGCTTAAATTCTTTGGGAATCTCTCTGACAAGACTTAAGTTATCAGATGATTACCCTGCTTACTCTATAGCTATGACATGGAAAACTCAAGCAAGCATTTGGTTTTCTTTTCTTAATTCATTTTTTTCACTGTTACATTGACTTGTAACATTATATAGGTTTCAGGGATACATCATTATAAATCAACATTTATATATACTGCATTGTTACATGATCAATCATTCATCCTACAGTTGATCCCTTTTATCCTATTTACCCACATCCCTTCCGTTCTAGTGATAGCTACTGATTTGGTTTTATAGTCTAAAAGTTTGTTTTATTTAGTCCTTTCATTTGTTTCATTTCTTTATGTATCAAATGAGTGAAATCACATGTTATCTTTCTTCTTCTTTCATTAAATATGATTCCCTGTAGTTCATCCATATTGTTACCTGAGGCACAGTTTCTACTTTTTAGGACCTACGTAGTAGTCCAGGTATACCACATTTTTATCCACTCTTCTGTTGATGGGCACTTAGGTTGTTTCTAACTGTTGGCTATTGTGAACAGTTCTGTGAGGAACATGAAGATGCACATCTCTTTGAAATAGTGATTTTGTATTTGAGGTAGTAAATACTCAGAAGTGGGATTTTATCATTTGGGATTGTTAATTTTTTGAGTACTCTCCATCCTTTCCATAATGGCTGCATCAATTTACATCCCACCAGCAGGGTAGAATGGTTCCCTTTTATGCACATCCTTTCCAAAACTTGTTTTTTACGTTTTCTGGGACTCATCATTCTCACAGTTGTGAGGTTTGATTTGCATTTTCCTTATGATAAAAAATGATGAACATTTTTAAAAAAGATTTTTTATTTATGCATACAAGAACTAGGGTACAGGCCAGAGGTGTGGAGGGGAGTGAGAGGATTCACCATAGACAGAGAAGGCAACAAACAGAACAGGCAGAACCACTGAAACACACTGCTGAGGAGAGCAGCTGGTGAAACTGGCGAGGTCTGCTGCACTGTGTGAGGGTCACTTCCCTGGCCATGGATCAAACTCATGCTGCAGTAGCTATGGATAGCTTCATAGTACTGCACTTTAACCCCTGTGCCACCAGGCAGAGCTGAGATGATGAACATCTGTTTATTTGTGTGTTCATTATCTGTCTTTGAATAAGTATATTCCGATCCTCTGACCACTTTTTAAATCCAGGTTTTTGTTGTTGAGTTATGTGAGTTCTTTTTTTTTTAAGATTTCATTTATTTTTGCATAGAAGAACTGGGGTATAGGCCAGAGATGTGTAGGGTGGGGCTGAGAGGATTCACTAGAGACAGTGTTGGGAGCAGAGCTCCCTGGTGGCCTAGGGATTAAATCTTATCCCTATCACTGCGAAGACCCACCTCAGTGGTCTACGTTCAATCCCTGGCCAGGGAGCTAACCCACATGTGTGTTTTGGATATTAAGCCCTTGTGAGATTGTGATTTGCAAAATTTTTTTGCCATTCTTTTGTTTTTGTGATAGTTTCACCAGTAAGCAACCTTTTTTTGGGTGTGTATTTTGTTATAGTGACAATAAAGAATACCTATTATTATCCAGTCTCCTTAGTACATTCAAGCCCTGATATTGTTGTGTATTTGTGAAGTGCTTCCATTTCCTGGGTAAATTGGATGGATACACCAGAGGAGAAAGTAATTTCATGTAGGCAAAGGGACTTTGATTTTGTAGCTATTTAGTGATGGGGGAGATAACAACTGGTAAGTATTCCTTGATTGTCCTATTAGTAGCTTTGTATTGGCTATTGAGTAAATTTAATATGTGGAAAACAAACTTTTATAGGACTACCACATGATTTTTTAAATTTATCTCTAAAATGATTTAGTATGAGGTAGTGGCATAGTGGATTGGGAAAAATTTCTAGGTTGTAAAATTTCAGTGGAGTCTCTTAACTTTATGATCATATATAGATAACTCAAATCTCAAAATAACTGACTCTCTCAACTTGCTTCTTGGCTTTAATATTTATTTTGTTATTCTGCCAGTAGTTTACTGTTTGGGATAGCACAGGTTGCAGGGTGTTTGGAACTACCTCAGGCTAGTTGGAGTTACCATTCTCTTCTCGTCAAGTTAATTCTCCATACTTCCTTGTATTTTTCTCCACTGAGAGTATAAATGTCACTTCAGTGTGGCTTTCTGTTCTTTATTTATGTGAAGTAGATGTTTTAGTATATAATGGTTGCTTTTTCTATCTTTTTTTATAGGATTTTATATCTCTGCTAAAGTCAGTGATGTGAAAAGACCTGACATGGGTAAGACTGACTATGAAGTCATTTATTCCTCTTAGTATTCTGATTTTTAAGCTGGAGTGAAAGAACAGGTTTCCCTACCATCTTCATATTTGCCTCTGTGCTTTAAGATTTTCAGGAAGATCTCAATCCTAATGTAATACTACATGTCAACAATTTTCTTTTTGTTGGTACATTATTTATAGCATCTTTTGGAAGCATTTTATATTCATGGTATTGAAAAAGCCAAGTACACACTAACAGATATTAACTATGTGCAAGATACTAGAATATATTAATTCATTTAATTTTTACAACTGCCTTACAAGGGTTCCTAACAGTCTTCAGTAAATATTATTATATGAACAATGAAACTGAGAGGCCGAGGTTTAGAAACTTTACTAGGATCAAACAGCTATAATTCTCAGAGCCAGAATTTTTTTACTACTAGAAAAGAAGCCTTTATTCCTCTTGTATACTGCCTTCTGCATGATACATAATTTGATTAAGGTTTTCTTCTTTGATTTTAAGAGCTTTTGAGGATTTATCAGTTCCATTCAGGTAGCACCAAACAACATGTATTTAGGGTTGCTCCTGATTAGTTTTGTTTAGCTAAGTGGCATTGAAAAATAATTATGATTAGACATTTCTACTATTCATAGAATATTTTAGTATTCATACAGTAGTCTATAGAGGAAAACGATGCAAAATTAGGCTAGTTAGCCAGTTTTTTGTTTTTTTTTCCTTAAAGATTTATTTATTTGTGCATACAGAACTGGGTACAGACCAAAGGTGCAGGGATAGTGAGTGGATTCACCAGAGACAGAGGGGGGGAGTAGAACAAGCAGATTGACAAAGTACACTGCTGAAGGGACCAGTGGGTGGGTCAGGAGAGAAGGCTCTAGCTTCTTAGTGCTGTGCTTTAACCTGCTGCGCCGTCAGCCAGTTTTAAAATAGAATGAAAACTATATAGACTTAGTTCTTATAATACCCTATATGCACCTTTTAATCACATTAGTTTTCTCTTTTTCTATTTGTTTGATTCATCTTCTTCCTCCCATGATCATTTGTCTCACTTTTCTTCCATTGCTGATAAGGGTGTAAATGCTAATTCCCTTACTCTCTCATTTGTTTGAACAGTCTTAAAATGATTATGTAGAGTAAGGTTGAGACACATCACAGTAATTGAGCTGATACACTAAGAGCCATATGAATAAATTATGCTTTTTTGGCAGAAAATTTTTTTTCATGTGCATTAATTTTTAAAGCACTTTTTAACATTAAAAACAGGAAATAAACCAATATTAAGTGTTTATGAATGGTGAAATTTTCCCCCATTTAAAAAATATTGATATACATATTTTTACAGTTAAAACATTCTAAAATTTAGAGAATTGCTCTATTTTTAGAACAAACTTGTTTTATAATGGTACAGGTTTTGAGCTATTTAGTAGATGATCTCAGTCAATTCCAAATGAACCAGTTTTTACCCATGGGCCTCTTTTGACAATGACATCTTGAAATTTCATGCCAATGTTTAATTATGAAAGAAAGGTTTTACTTGATTGTAAAACTATTCTTTGGGAAACAGTTTTACTAGCTGAAAAGATTGGTTCATAGGTAAGTAGTTATTGAAGAATTATGTGACTTGAACTAATCCAGATTCTTTTCCCAGATGATATTGCTGATAGGATGAGAATGGATGCTGGCGAAGTAACTTTAATGAACCACAATTCCATATTCAAAACCCATCTTCTGTCACAAACAGGTTTTCCAGAGAACCAGCTTTCGCTTTCTGATCATCAGGTTAGGAATAGTTTTCTTCATTTAATTAATGGATTATTTTGCCATTAAGTTTTTATCTAATGTAGTTTAAACTCCACATGCAAAAGTACAGGCATATATGTAAAATTTTTACAGTCAGTTCTGGTGTTTTACATTCTGTTTCTTAAAGACACAAAGTTCAGTATGAGTTCTTTGAGAACAGAACCTTTTAGAAAACTTTTCATTAGTCTTTTGAATATTACAGTTAACCAATATATTGATCAATAATGTCTTAAACTAGTGTCTTAAAATGACTGAGCATTAGCTGGTGGTAGGAAGGGATATATGAATGTATAGAATCAAGACTACCAACATATTTGATATGACCTAATGTGCTGTTAGAGCATTATGTGCTGAATGTATATTTACCTTCTAATGAGAATTCTTTGAATTAATGTGTGTAATAGATATTTTGTCCATTTTCCCCTTGAAAATCCATTCATTTAGTCGGATTTTCTTTGTTTTCATTTCTTACTAATATGTACTTTAATTAAAATATATGTAAATAGAATATAATTAATTATGTTGAGTTCTGAATTATGTCATAGTCTAGTGAGACATTTTTCCTGGTATAAATTTTTAATCTACTTTTTCTTTTTTCGAAATATGACTTAAGAAAAATTTCTGTTTTGTTTAGATATTACCTTCCAGTCAAGGAAATTTGGATCAGTCTTTTACATACTCCTCAAGAAGTGCAGCTTATAATCCAAATTATTATTCAGGTATGACACATTACTTGGAGTCAAGGCATTTTTTTGTACCTTTTAGATTTCTTCTAACAAGTCATTTGTCTTTACCATCTATAAAAGTAACAACATTGTTTAGAAAACAAAAATGGTTATTTTCTCCACTAAAATATTTTAATAAGCTCTGTGTGTGTCTGTGTGTTTGTGTGTGTTTGCTATAATACTCGACTGATCTAGTCTCATACTAATTTCTTAATGGAAAGGATTTTTTTGAAATCCATTCTCCTGTCCATTCTACCATTGTAGAAATAGTACAGCTTTGTTTTGACTTTTTTTTTAATTTTCTTTTGGGATATGTATATGTGATATAAAGGATATTTATTGATTTAAAGGACAGACCTACTCTATTTGTATTCTGCTTAAAACTATGAATCCTGAAAATGTTTTTCTACCCAAGCTTGTCCCTCAGTCAGGGCAGGATTAGCTGCATGTTCCTATCTAGCACCTGCCACAGCCATGCTTGCATATTCGAGGGCTTGCCTGTTCATCTTGTGATCCATGACAGAAGTCAGCATTCTCAAGGCTCCTCCTAACCCCTGGCCTACTTTCAGCTACTCACTTTCTACAATTTGAACTTCCTCTATCTACAGCAAAAGAGTTTTTTATTGGTTAGTCTTCTGGCAGTGTGACCCAGGAAATTATATTCATCTTTGTATGTCTTTTCACTCTTCATGCTTAAATCTTCTCACTTTACCACAAATGTGGGTGTACTGGCAATAAATACCTTTGAACCTACCCCAATGGGATTTTTATAAAGAGAAATTGAGATTATAAATATGAAATGCAAATAATAATTATTGTTATTTGGCTTCCTCAGGATTCTTTGTCAACAAGATGAGATCTCCTCCCCTAAAAAGACGTTAGTATGATGCTTTTTAGATTTAACTTATATTTAAATGTCATTTAGCTGGGTGATACTTTACCCTGGGCACTAAATTTCCTTTCCAGGGTTGAAAAGTGGTCTTCATAGTGTATGATGATTTGTATAGAAAAGTCAGTTAATTTGTTCAAAAAGTAACTCTGCTTTAATAGTCGTTGTGAAGCAGAGAGACTGAAATCTGTTTTGGTTAATACTGGAGGGAAGGAGAGTAAGTAGCTAATGAATTCAGAGCAGTAATATTTCTTGAACTCAGGCTATGTTAACTTGTGAATTCATGTGCTGATTTATCTTTGGGCAGAATTGTTTGCATTTTATAACAATTACTTAGTAATCAGGTTTTTTTAATAGAAAATTATACTCACAATCTTCTGATAGCTCAATTCTTATTTACTGTGACCTTTTCTGATTTTTATCTGTGTGTACATGCATGGTACACACTGTATGATTCAATACAGATAATTATTTTTAGTGCAAAAGTTTTTATTTTTTCATTTTGTTTACATGTTCTAAATTTATCATTTTTTTGTCCATGGAACTGATTATACACATTCATGTTTGTGTAAATACCAGAATCAAAAAGCTCTGAAAACAAAATTCATATAGCATGAAAACCTGACCTAACTGAAATCATTCCTTGGCAAAGTCTAAGTGTGGACTGACATGAAGCTGTTTGTATCTCTGTAAATATGAGTATACATTTTGCTGGAGATAAGGGGAATTTGTTTGATAACCAGTGCTGCTTTAGATTATATTTGGAAGTATTACATAGTACAAACGAGGTTATCATTTTAAAATTTCAAAAATCATTAAATCAGAAACTGGTCTAAAGGGGGTTATGATTTAAGATAATGGGCCAGTGCTTTCATTTGTATCATTGTTTTCCCTATGGTCTTGTACTCTTTCATCCTTGCCATTTTCGTGTTATAAATAACATCACCTAATATTTATTTATAGAGATTTTCTTATTAAATTTCAATAGTTACTTGAGATTTACAAAGGATGTATCTCAGATCATCTCAAATCCTTGTGTTCTTGACCACAATGATATTTGACCAGATTCCTCATACCTGCTTACTTACAATGATTTTTGAATTACATTTTTCCTGTTTGTCCTCATACCACAAGTTGATTCATATATCAGAATCTTAGTTTTATCTCTCAGTTGAAGTTCATTTTTTTAAGAAAAGAAAAAAATTTATATGTTATTGTACATATGGTGATGAATAAGATAATAGTGAATGATAATGATAAAGTCTTATTGAAATGGGGAGACTGAGCTATAAGATACATTCTCTAAATTACCCCCAAAAGCAGAGCCTCTACTAAATTTCATCTAGTCTCTGCCAGACAAATTTATGGCATGTCACAGATCTCCAAAATTATTTTCCCACTGTGAATGCCACAGAGCTATATACTTTTTTCTGTTAATAAAATTTTTAATTCAAATCAGCTTTTTATATCCTTCTAAAAACTTTGTTCCTTTGCTAGATTGATCTCAATTAATTAAGGTCCTGAAGAATTGTGTTTCTTATCATCTTTGGATTTAATCCCCACATTGATTTCCATGGTTAGTCTCGAGCCTTCCCTGTTGATTGGGCTAGATGTGGGCCGCTACTTTGCTTGCTTTAGTCTTCTCATACAGTCTATTGGCATTGTCTCCACTCTCACCCTGCTGTCTTCTCCACCAAGATGAAAATGAACACAGGAAAACTCCAAACGTTAGTTAGTATCTGGAACATCCCATTTTCTGTCTTGCTGGATCTGCCTATCTTAAGCTTTTAAAAAAGTTGCTTCTCATTCTACTCAAAATTAGACCATTAAAACATTGAATTTTTAGAAAGCAAAGAAAATGCAACACTGATCATTAATCTTTGAGACTTGGTTTTATTTATTAAAAGTACAGTAAAAAGAAAATTAAAACATTTTACATCTTAAAGAAAAGTAGATTAATTTGAGAAGAAATTATTTGCTTATACTTGGAATCATTGATATCTTCTCTTTGGCAAATTTATTAAATTAGGTTGTATCCAGTTAAGATAACTAGTTTTTAAGAGAAGCAATTGATACTTTCATGGTGATTACTTACTTTTTTTTTTTTAAAGATTTATTTATTTGTGCATACAGAACTATATGTAGTATCCTTAAAGTAGTAGTAATAGATACTAAGTATAAATACTGATTACAGAGAGGAAAAGTTACAGTTCATTGTATTCAATTTATTTGCGCATAAAGATTTATTTATTTGTGCATACAGAACAGGTCAGAGGCTCAGGGACGGTGAGAGGCTTCACCAGAGACAGAGCTGGGAGCAGAACAGTCAGATCGATGAAGTACACAGCTGAGGGGAGCAGCGGGCGGGTCAGGAGAGGTCTGCCACGCAATATGGTCACCTCCGGGGCAGGTGGGGATCGAACTCTTGCGGAAGTGGCTTTAGATTCTCAGTGCTGTGCTTTAACCCACTGCGCCACCAGGGAGGGCCTACGTGATTACTTTTTAAAATATAAAATTTATTTTGTCCATAAAAGTTTTGCCTGCCTTAATAGAAAGTTTAAGGGATAAAGAGAAAAATACCCATCATTCTATCAAACTAAAATTTGGGTGTTTTCCCTTATAATTTTGTATACAGCTATATGCACATAATAGTCTGATTTGTGTTACGCAGCTCTTCTTAGTGGTAACAGAACATCAGATTAAGCCCTGACTTTAAAAAACAGTATAGTTCCCTGTTGGTCCTTTTCTAGCTTTTCTTGATTACATCAGCAATGTAAGACTATTTAGTGATTTCATGGAGTGGGAGTAGAATCACCTTATTTGGGTTGATCAACATACCTTATCTTGTGCTTTTCCTTTGCATTTTAAAACTGAAACTTCTGTCAAATGCTTTTGAGGAGATTGCTGCGGTTTATCCTTGGTCTCAAATTTTATGCCCATTGGGGTAATTTTTATATATATATATATTTTTTTTTTTTAAAG